AGCTTTGTATGAACTTTTACGCAGAGTAAAGCAAGAAAAATGAGGAAAATAGCGGGACAGTGACTACAGCAAATAGAACAACCACAGGGGGCAGCTGGGTGGTGCAGTGGTTAGAGCACCCAGTCAGGAGGACCCGAGTTCGAATTAGGACTCAGGCACTTGACACTTACTAGCTGTGTGATCCCAGACAAGTCACTTAACCCCCTAATACCTCACCAAAAAAAAAAAAAAAAAAAAAATTAGAACTACTATAAAGTACTAAAAAATGGATGTTGCAAAATTACAAAGAATAAGCTTGGTCTTAGCACAGTGCCTGGTACATAGTAGGAGCTTAATATGTGTTGCTTGATTGATCCCAAAGAAGAGAACCCCACCCTGGGTGCGGGGCACAGCGGGAAGGCGACTCACTAGTTTGCAGAGGTGGGAGGTCAACAAGTGCGGAACTTTGCAAATAATTTAGGGTTAGGTGTTGTTTGAGTTTTGGGTTTTTTATGCGTTCTAGTGAGTTTTGCTTAACTTTTTTCTTTTTTGTAACTTTTTTTCCTTTTGAAAAAGTTTAAGAGATGGCTCCCTTGGAGGTGGCAGGTGGAGGGATAAATCTAGCCAATATAAAATCAAAAGAATCAATAGGACCTACTCTAAAAGTAACCAAGAAAAAGGAACTTCTTCCTGTAGACCCTCTGTGCACTTAGAACAACATGCAGTTGTCAGCCACTTCCCTTGGACTCTGGGCCTTCAGCCCCTCTCTGGTGACCCTTCCCCCACCCTTTAATCTGGGGTAATGGTTGCTAGATCCTAGGCCCCCAGTTAATCCTAGGCCTCTATCCTCCCCCAGCCTTGCCTGTCCCTGAGAAGATAATCTCTTCAAGAGCCAACGTAATCATCTCATTGAAAGCTCCAGCTGGGATGGATGGTGTTTAGATATCATTTTCTCCAGTCTCGCTACTTCAGAGAACCTGGGGCTCTGAAACAGTCTGGGGGACCAGTCTCACATTAGACACAGGTTGGAGTCTTGTGACGGACCCAAGAGCTTTTGAAGAACCTTACTTCCCTTCCCTGTTTAAGACATTCAGTAGCAAATGCTCGAATAGTGAGTGGCCCCTAGACCCAGGAAACGTGAGGTTCAGAGAGAGAAAAGAATGCCCCGTTAGAATGGAAGCTCCTTGAGGATATTCATTGTTGTCTATGTTTTGCACATTTCCTAAATGCTTGTCGGTGATGGATTCTTAAGAGTGTGAGGTAGGGATCCAGTTACCAATGTGTTCAGTCTGACCTCCTTATTTCACAGCTAAGGAAAATGAGCTTCAGGGAAGGGTGGCGACTTGCCAGGGGTCACAACACAGGCCAGAATGGTCTTTGTGGTTGAATGACTGTAGTTTTTAATTAGAAAAAGTCCTTAAGCTAAGAGAAGGCTCAGAGATCCTCTAGCTCACTGTCACTTATTTATTAAAGGGAGAAACTGAGGGCCCAAGGAGGGACTCATCGGAAGGCGCAGCAAGGTTAGGAGTCCAAGATATCTGTGAGAGACAGTTTCTCCACTGGAATTTGGCCATGGCTGAGGAAATAAATAGAAGGGAAAAGGCTTAGAGATCCGGTGCCCAAAGACTTGGGGGGCGGGGAGGGGGGAGCAAGATTCGTTCTACTCCAGTTTCCGATCTCCCTGCCTGCAAAATGAGCAGTGGGTTTGCGGGGCTGCATCTCTGGGGATTTGCTGCTTTTAACCCTAAACCCATGGCCTTCTATTCCTCAACATCTGGCACTCAGGCCTGGGGCCAGGGAAGAACCCTCCCCACTCCCTCCCCATCCAGCTGGCCAGGGGACGCCCCCCCCCCCCCCCCCCGAATAGGCAGCTCAGTCCCTGGTGGAGGAGCTGGAAAGACAGGGATCCAAGGCGTTCCAGGCTTCAGAGATTGGAATAGTCTGGCAGAGCTGTCCAGGAAGAGGAGGACAAGGTGGAGGAAAAGCCGGAGCCTTGAAAGACGTAACTGGTTGGATTTGTAAGCAGTGAAGGGGGTGGGAAATGAATCCAGCTGGGCTTAGGGAAGCCAGGTGTGGAAGCATCAGCCGGAAAAGGCTTCCCTTGGGAGGCAGCAGGACTTTCCAAGCAGGTAAGGATGGGGGCGGCGTGCCATGGAGAGGAAGAAAGGGTAAAAACGGAGGGTGGGGGAATGGGGAGGCAATGTTAAAACCCAGCTGGGAAAAAAAAGAAAAACAAGGTGGGGAGGGGCGGCCCAGGGAGAGAGCCTCACACCCGTTTCATAGATAGGGTGAAGTGAGGCCCAAAGAAGGCAAGAGCTATTCCCAAGGTCACCCAGTGAGCTAGCCAGATGGGTTCCGAATGCAAAGGGCTTCAGGAAAGGAGGAGGGAGAGAGGGAAGACGACCAGAGGAAAGGTGAGCTGGCAACACAATGTGCCAGCGACCCCGGGGAGCCAGGCTGGCAGCTGTCTGTCGGCTCGGGGTTGGGGGCCGCATCCCGGATCCCGCTGTCCCGTTCCTCAGGCCCTTGCGGCTGCTGCGTCCACCGCCGGCCGCCGCCGCTGCCGCCGCTGCTGCTGCTGCTGCTGGGACCCTTGGCCTGCATCGGGGCGCAGCGCGCCGCCGGGGAAGCAGTGAGGCTCCCGGGGGACGTGACTCTTGGCGGCCTGTTCCCGGTGCACGCCCGGGGGGCGGCGGGAGCCGCCTGCGGGCCGGTGAAGAAGGAGCAGGGTGTGCACCGTCTGGAGGCCATGCTCTATGCCCTGGACCGGATCAACGCCGACCCGGCTCTGTTGCCCGGGGTGCGCCTAGGTGCTCGTCTGCTGGACACGTGCTCCCGAGACACCCACGCCTTGGAGCAGGCCCTCACCTTCGTGCAGGCGCTGCTGCGGCCCGCCTCTGGGGCCCGCTGCCCAGGGGGTGGCCAGCCCATCGGGGCCCTGCCCGAGCAGCGCGTCGCGGCCGTCGTGGGCGCCTCGGCCAGCTCCGTTTCCATCATGGTGGCCAACGTGCTTCGACTCTTCGCTGTGTGTGATCGGGGGTGGGACCTGAGGAAGGATTGGAGGGGGGGGGAGGGGAGAGAGAGAGAGAGACAGAGAGAGAGGAGAGGGAGAGAAAGAGAGGAGGGAGAGAGAGAGGAGGGAGAAGAGAGAGAGAGGAAGGAGAGGGAGAGAGAGAGAAAGAGAGA